CTGAGTAGCACCTCATTACATGGATATACTAAAACTTGTTTTTCATAAACTTGTTCTGTAAAATGTCAAGACACAAACAATACAATCCACCATAAGGGAGAGTCGAACAATATGAAATATACCAGAAAAATGCTGTTATCTAAAGCTCTTGATAATCTATTAGTTACTACAAAATAAGTACACTTAGAAACATAAGGATGAGACATTTTAAAATGAATAGGCACATATAAAAATGAATTTTAAAACTTCAAGCATTAAAAAAAAAATCACTGAAAAACTCAAAAGCCTAAAGAAGTATCAATTAGACATAGAAGAAAAGAGAATCAGGAAACCAGAAGACGGAGCTGTGAAATCTCCCAGAATGCAGCCTAACAAGGTCAAATAAGTAAGCGAAGGGAAGAAATGCAGAGTAGAAAGAGATGGTCCACCGTATGTCTGTCACAAATTCCAGAAGGAGAAAGGAGAAGCGACATGCAAGCATGTAGTGGCTAAAACATTTCTAAAATCTACAGACGACATTTAACTCCCTGTCTCAAAATCAATAAAAAATAAGTCCACACCTAGAGACACCATAGCAAAACTGAAAGAATGCTAAAAGCAAGAGAGTAATGACATAGCATCTACAAAGGAAAGATAACATACTGACAGCTAACTTTTCAAAAGGATCACTGGTCCCCGGAGACAGAGGGATGTCTTCCAAATGCTAAGGGAGGAGGTGGGCAGGGCAGGGGGTGATTGCCAACCTAGAACTGTATACCAAACTAAACTATTCAAGCGTGGAGGCATTATGAAAAATTCAGACAGAAAAACATGGGTATGAATCCAGGCACCACCAATTTTTAGATGTGTCCTCAGGCAAATCATGCAATTTCTCTGGGCCTCAGTTCTACCTCTATAAAATAGGGAAAATAATATTTAATATCAAAACGTTATTATAAAAATTAAATGTGACAATATGTTAACATCATTCCTACCACACAAGGAGCAATAAGTCAATGTAACTATTATTTTACTCCATATTCAATGTTAATAAGAGGTTTGGAGAAGCTTAAGTTTTTCCACAAAAATATCAAGAAATCAACTGACTCATTTTCATTATAAATTCCTAGATGTTATACCGTAAGTTCAATGGCTTTTAACCATAATCTTGGAAAACAGAGAGTTTTTAGGAGATCAGCCTCCATCTAGCGATGGCAGGAAGGATGTTCGTGACGCCTGCTGTTTGACAACGGTCCTCTCGTCTTGAGTTCACCCTGTTCAGCATCTTCGCCAACACTGACCGCTGAACTGGCCGGGGGCGCTGGGCAGAACGACCAAGTAACACCGCAGGGAGGGCTCAGAACGGGGAGCGCGGTCCACGCTCACGCGCAGACCGGGGGACGGTGCGGCCCCCGTCCCAGATGACCACGCTCTCCACGGCTCAGCTGCAAACGCAACCAACACAGCTGGGGTCCGAGCCCTCTGCAGCTACACCTCCGATCACACCCTTCTCTCCTTTACATCCGGCCCCCCCCCACACACACCCCACACACGCCCCATACACGCCCCACACATCCCCCCAACACACACCCCACATACACTCCCACACACACACCCC